GCAGCTAAACAACCCAGTGGCCATGTCCTTTTCTCCCTCCCCACCAGGGATAACCCAAAGCCAATGACTAGTTCCCCGGCCTCAAAGAGGGACAGCGTCTATAGTGCCATTTACCCTACAGAGTCCCCCTGGGATCCACCTGAGGCTAGACTCCAGCTGAGCCCACATCTTTACCTGGTTTCTTCCTGTTGTAACTTGTTTCCATCTCTTCCTTACTGGTTTCTCCTGAGAGCCTCTCTCAAGAAATCACTTAGTGGGGCACCCGGGTGGCTCAGTCATTAAGCGTCTGCCTCCTGCTCAGGTCATGATCCCAGGGTCCTGGGATCGAGCCCCGCATCGGGCTCCCTGCTCAACGGGAAGCCTGCTTCTCCCTCCCCCACTCACCCTGCTTGTGCTCTCTCTCTCGCTGTGTCTCTGTCAAATAAATAAATAAAATCTTAAAAAAAAAGAGAAAGAAAAGAAAAGAAAAGAAAAAAAAAGAAAGAAAGAAAGAAAGAAAGAAAGGAAGGAAGGAAGGAAGAAAGAATCACTTAGCCCAGAATCCCTGTCTCAGGCTCTGCTTCTAGAAACTCAACCTAAGACATCAACCAAATAAACCACCTGAACTGGTAACAGATCCCTTTCTCCAAAATGCACCACCAGTAGGCACTTCTGACCAGCACATGCGTGAGTTTCCACACTGTGCTGACCTCATACCAACCAAAAACGAAGATACTGCTGGCCGGACTTTGTACAAGTTCATACATGGTTTCCAAAGAGGGATAGAAAATATTGACAATAACTCGTACATGCATTTCTATGCCCACCACCCATGGACCTAAGGTCCCGAGGCCCCCAGCCTGAGAACTAGTTCCCCCTGAAATCATGATCCCAGACACTTTAGCTGGATTTCCTGACAATTGGCTGAGAGCAGGACAGGCAAATGGGGTTGGGAGGAGGAGGGTCATGGGATCGAGCCCCACATTGGGCTCTGCACTCAATGTGGAGCCCATTTGAGATTCTCTCCTTCTCCCTCTGCCCCCCCCACCACTTGCTCTCATTCTCTTTCTAAAATAAGAAAATAAATAAATTTTTTTTAAAGATTTTATTTATTTATTTGAGAGAGTGCAAGTACAAGCGGGGGGGGGTGCGGCGCAGAGAGAGAGGGAGAAACAGACTCACCACTGAGCAGGGAGCCCGATATGGGACTCGATCCCAGGACCCTGGGATCATGACCTGAGTCGAAAGCAGATGCTTAACCAACGAAGCTGCCCAGGTGCCCCAATAAATAAATCTTTTAAAAAAAAGAAGGCCAGGTCTCTGACTGATGGCATGAGGAGAGCCACCACCAACCCTGAACTGCTAGGTGAGAAATAATCTCTCTTCTTTAAGCCACAGAATTTGTAGGGAGTCTTTGCTCCAGCAGCTGTGCCTTGTCCTAGCTAGGAAACCTGCCCAACATCCATTTCCTCTCTGGTCATAGCACCCGCTTTTCTGCTGGGGAACCACTTTCCTACTCCCAAGCCGGTGGTGTGGCTGACCTGCTCAGAGGGGAAGGAGCATGGCTGCCTATCTCCCACAGCACAGTGACAATCTCAGGGTGGAACCAAGAGCCAAATCGAGCCACTTAGAGACAAGAAGCATCAGCCCAAGATCTTTGGCTGAAAGACAAACCCTTCTTCTGCTGAGCCGCTGTACTATGGGACAGGAGTCCAGAGCAATGGTGGGCCATGAGATCCCCACTTGAACCTGCCTGAAATAGAAGTCACCTTCAGGAAAACCAGATACAAGACAGAGAGAAAGATGAGTGATAACATGATTTAAGCACCTAGATCCAGCCATCCCTGGAGCTGGAACAACCCTAGATTTGTCAGCCAATACATTCTCTTTTCTGTTAAAGTCATTTTACTTTTTTTAAAATTTATTTATTTTTTAAAGATTTTACTTATTAATTTGACAGAGAGATAGAGAGCACAAGTAGGCAGAGGGAGAGGGAGAAGCAGGCTTCCCGCTGAGCAGGGAGCCCGATGCGGGGCTCAATCCCAGGACCCTGGGATCATGACTTGAGCCGAAGGCAGATGCCTAATGACTGAGCCACCCAGTCTCCCCAAAAGATTTTATTTTTAAGTAATCTCTACACCCAGTGTAGGTCTCGAACTCACAACCCTGAGATCAAGAGTTACATGTTCCACCGACTGAGCCAGCCAGGCACTCCTGGGAGTCATTTAATTTAATTTATTTGTTATTTTTTAAAAAATATTTTATTTATTTATTTGAGAGAGAAAGTGAGACCGAGAGAGAGGCCAAGCAGGCAGAGGGAGGGGCAGAGGGAGAGGGACAAGCAGACTCCCTACTGAGCAGGGAGCCTAATGCGGGTTTGATCCCGGGACGCTGGGATCATGACCTGAGCCAAAGGCAGATACTTAACCAACTGAGCCACCCAGGCGCCCCTGATAAAGTCATTTTAAACTGAGTTTCTGTCACTTGCAACCAAAAGAGTTCTGTTTAATAAAAATCTGTGCCAGGGCCACCTGGCTGGCTCAATCAGTGGCACATAGGGCTCTTGATCTCAGGGTTATGAGTTCAAGCCCCACGTTGGGCATAGAGCTTACTTTAAAAAAGAAAAATTTTTTTAAATCAATAACTAAAAATCCATCCCTAAAGAGAACATCATGTCAGCTAGTTCACAATTCCCTGTGCAAACCAGACCAGAGACCAGCTGCCCCAGCTAGTCATTTAGATCATCCCTTATAGGAATACTCATTTTTGTTGTCAAAATTACCCAGATCACTGTCGAAAGCAAATCATGCTTTCTAGACGCTCTCCCCTGCATCAAGTGCTAGGAGACGACAGGATGTCAGCAATTGGCCCCCTGCAGCCAGGGCCAAGGCCTCGGCGCTGGCTGTCCCAGGAGGCTGCACCATGTGGCCTTCACAACATCCCACTCTGCTGCTCTGGGTCCCAAGTGCATCCCCAGCCACCGCGGATGCTTGAACGTGGCCACGTAGACCAAGCTCCTGGACCTTCATGCGAGGCAGAGCTCCTAGGACCACGGCGACCCTTCAGGATGGCTCTGGGGCACGGAGTGTTGCTGTTTAGAGAAACCAAAGGCGTGAGGATCTCCCAAAGCCTGCCCTCGTCTCATGCCTGCCTCTTGCATAGTCCAAATTGAACTGGGGATGGGGGGGTTGCGGGGAGTTCTTTCCTTTCTTAAGGGTGGGGAGAGGGAAAGGGGTATTTTGACCAGAGTTAGGATTCCTGGCACTTTCCTCTGGCCACCAGCCGATGGCCCCTGTGGCTGCCTCATCTGCTTCTGGGCACCAGGACGCTGACCCCCTTGGGAGTGCTCTGAGGATTGTTCCAGAGAACGCTGTGCAGCCAGGGGTGCCAAGCTGGGTGCCCCACATCATAGGGGCTCCACAGAACGGTTCATTTCCTCCATCAAGAAAGAGGAGTGGTGGCGCGCCTGGGTGGCTCAGTCATTAAGCGTCTGCCTTCGGCTCAGGTCATGGTCCCAGGGTCCTGGGATCGAGCCCCTTTGGAGGACTCCCTGCTCAGCTCCCTCTCCCACTCCCACTGCTTGTGTTCCTGCTCTCGCTATCTCTCTCTCTGTCAAATAAATAAATAAAATCTTAAAAAAAAGAAAGAAAAGAGGAGTGGACTTGCAAGAGAAATGTTCACTTGCCATGCAGCTGAAATTGTCCAGATCTTGGCATAATGCCTGGCCCACAGTGTGGGAAAGGAGGACATTGGAGGGTGGGGGGGGTGGGGGAGAAAAGCAGGAAGAGAGGTGGAGGGAGGAGGGAGAGGAAAGGAGAGGAAGCTGGGGCGGGGGGAGGAAGTACGAAAATGGCGCCATCACCCAAATGTTCCCCAGACCAAGAAGCGGCCTGGTCCTGACACAAGATTTTCTTCCTCTTCCAGGGTGAAAATGAGGCTGGGGCCCTCAGACCCGGGGCACTGGGGGAAGGCAGCCGAAGGACCGCAGGGTAGAGTAGGTCAGCACTCCAGGCTGTTCAGGCAGCTCCCCGGACTAGGGAAAATCTCTCTCGGCCACCATGGTTCCGAGGGTTCGGGCCCTTCCTGCTACCCCTCCAGCCATGGAAGGACCCTGGAAACCACCTGGCCACCCCTCTCGTCCCCAGAGCTTCCTGCCTCTCCTTTGCCCGATCTCCGTCTCAGGTCTGCTTTATTGTGAACCTCCTGGGCCTCTGGGGCAGGCCTCCCAGGTGAGGAGATGAGGGTGGCCAAAGGTCACAGAGCTCAGCAGTCACATGCCCCGAAGGAGACTGCTGTCCCTCCCACAAGGGCACAGGGTGCACCAGGCCAGCCAGCATTCCTCCGGGTCCCGAGTTCGTGGCTTCTCCGCCACGGCCAGACTCAAGGGAGGGGCAAGTGCCTGCAGCCAGCAAGTCCCAGCCCCAGAAAGCCAGAAGCATCTCCACAGTGACCCCAGGGACACAAAAAGCATGGATGACGAAAGCATCCATGAGTGACATTCCCCGTCCACCCCAGGCGTCTCTGCCCATCTGCCTTGGGGGACCTGTTCACCTGCCCTCCTACCCAGTGCTCAAGATCGGCTTCCTCGAACTCACCAACCAATACAAAATCACCCACCCCAAAGAACCTGAAGTCGAATGTCACACATTAGGCCCTAAACAGGGAGCTAGAACTCAATGCTCTGTTTTGTTTTTATGAGGAAAGTTCCACAAGAACATTTCATTTATTAAAATAATTCCTGTAAACTCTTTCGGAATAACAAAATTCATTTTCCTTGCTTGAGTAGCATGGCAAGTGAAAGTACTTTTATTTCAAGGCACCATAAAATGAGTCTCTCTAAGAACACCTCTGCCTCCACATGTGAAAATCCTAAAAGAAAGAAACAAAGAAACAAAGAAAGAAAGAAAGAAAGAAAGAAAGAAAGAAAGAAAGAAAAACTCTTCATGGTGATCATGACCATCCACAAACTTTTGTTAATTTCGACTATTCAACAGGACATGGGGTACGGGGGGCGGGGGGTGCAGACACCACTATTATCATCAACAACCCTTAGAACAGATTTCCCTGCTCAGGCCCCAGAAGGGCAGAGGGATGAACTGAACCCAAGTGGGGCAGGGGACCTTCAAAACCCCAAATCCCTGTAAACGCGGCGGCTCTGGCTGCCTGCCCCCCCTCACTTCTCCTCCTCCTCACTCAGGTTGGCATTCCCCGGGCACGTGGACATCAGCTTGGTTTGCAAAAGAGCCGCTAGTTTTTTGGATGTCTTTTTGAGAAAGGCGCTGCCCGGGTGGGCACTGTTCACGTGCAGGTACAGGTCCTCCTGGGTGGGACCCGTGTAGCCACAATCCTCGCAGACATAGAGCTTGTCCCGGCGTTGCTTGTAGGCGTACTGCTGCTGCACCCCGTGGATCTTCTTCAGGTGGGACTCCAAGGAGCAGCGCTGGGTGAAGGCTTTGTTGCAGATGTCACATTTATAGGGGCGAATGCCTGTAAGGTCGATGGGCAGACACATCACCAGTGGGTCACAGCCAAGCCAGAGCCTCCGAACCATGAAGCCATTTAAAAACATGATGCACAAAACCATGATGCACAACCCAATAGCAAAAAACCAAACCGCCTTGTTCAAAACCGGGCACAGGAACTGAATAGACCTGCAAAGAGCCAACAGGTACATGACAAGGTGCTCCACACCGTTGATCGTCAGGAGAATGTGAATCACCTCCCACCTGTTAGAATGATTACCATCAAAGACAAGAGATAGCAAGGGTTCTTGAGGATGTGGAGAAAAGGGAACCCTCGTGCACTGTTGGTGGAAATGTAAACTGACACAGCCATTATGGAAACCAGTATGGAGGCTTCCCAAAAATCAAAAATAGCACTATCACGTGATCCAGAAATCCCACATCTAGGATATATATTCAAAGGAAATGAAAAGAGGATCTGAAAGGCACATTGGCACACCCGTGTTCACTGCAGCATTATTCACAACAGCCAAGAACATGCAAATAACCTAAGTCTCCATCGACAAATGAATGCATAAAAAAGATGTGGTATATTTATACAATGGAATATTATTCAGCCATGAGAAAGAAGGAAACCCTGCTATTTGCAACATCATGGATGAACGGTGAGGGCATTATGTGAAATAAACCAGACGGAGAAAGACAAATGCTGCATGATACCACTTATGTGTGGAAAAGTCAAACCCATAGGAACAGAGTGGATAAACAGTTGCCAGGAGCCGAGGGGTAGAAAAAATAGGGAGAGAAAAAAAGTCAGCCTGACCAGGGATTCAACATGAGAAAAATGATTAAGGCAGGAGACAAAGTATGTCTACAAGGGTTCGATGCAAACTTAGCAAAGAAACACCACCTGGCTTTGGGAGGAAGGGTTTTAGTTTTCCCACTTGTATGCCTTAACGTTTTGATTTTATAGTGGGCAGAGTAAACCTTGTTTCTATTTTAGTTGCAGTTTTCCTGGGAACAAACCCCGTGACAAAAATCCCAGCAGCGCCTGTCGGTGAGTGAAGAGGTGGGGCAGCGAGAGGAAGGAGCCCTACAAGGTGGGGACAGCAAGGCAGTCACTGCTGTGGGCGACCAGAATCCACTTCCACCGGACAAGGTAGAACATTTAACCTCTAAGTCATCCTGCCCCTCATGGCTAGGGTCTTCCTCCCACCCCCGCCCCACTCCAGCAGCCTGTCAGGGGCCATCCCTGGGGGGTGCACAAGAACACTCTCAGGCAGAGTTGCAGGTGTGGGCAGCTGCAACGTAGATGGGTGTGCCCAGAAATGGCAGGAGCCAGGGGTGTGGGCGGGACATGGGTGGCATCTGCTATGGTTATGAAAGCGTTTCCCAACTAGGTCTCATGCTGGCCTTAGCAATGGGCTAATACTGGTAGCGCTTGCCTTCTAGATGGAGAGTTCCCATGTGCCATCTCCACCAGGGAGCTCAGCCTCGTGAAAGCACAGACCTCCCTATTTCCACTAAGAGCACTCATCCTGACTGTGAGGGCAGAAAGTCACATGGACTGATGTAAGTCAGACCTAATGTAGGCTCTAAAGGGCGAGTATCGTGCTGGAATACAGGGAGCAGATAGGGGGCGGCCCCCACAGTCAGACCATCTCAGAGCCCAGAGGCCAGCTGAGCCATCCCCTACGGGAATCCCCGAAGCCTGAGATGCAAAAATTTAAGGGCATGCCAAAAACTCATCAGTCGAGTGAGATAATATTTCAAAAATCGAAGCACATTAAAAAAAATCCATAGGACCCAGTTATCAAAATCTTAAACAAGACCCAACAGTGCCATCCTGGAGCTTGAGGCAAAAGGAAAGACGAGCGCTCTATGTAGATGTTTTCATGTAGTTTTTAAACGGTTATTCTTTTCCCCATAATGTGCTAGCTGTTGAAAAAAATACACTGAACAACTGAAAAGTAGCTGAATTAAAACTCACATTTTAAAATGTTTAAATATTTTTTTTAACACAAAAATGGAATTTATGATGATTTTACTATCCTGGCTTTAATGGAAGCAAACTTATCCAAAGATATTTTCAAAATCTACTTTTTTAGCTTCAAAATAATCTGGAGGATTTCTCCATGTTGGTGCCTACAGTTCGGTTTCATTCCTTTTCACAGCACCGTGGTGTTTTGTTGGACGGCTATACCCAAATGCCATCTTTCACAAGCCAGAGACAGACTGACTGCCTTGTACAACTGGTCCTCACGCGTACTCCTCGGGCCAACAGTCAAACTGCGTCCCCTGGGAGCTTGTAGGAAAAGCAGAGTCCTAGCCCCACCCACCCCACACCCGCCCCGACTAAATAAAATGTGGAGCTGTGGTCCTCAAACCCAGGGGGCTCATCAAAACACAGATTCCTGGCCCCAGCCCTGGTGTTTCTCTTTCTGGGACAGGGCTAAGACTCCTGCGTTTCTAGCGTGTTCCCAGGTGATACGGAGGCTGCTTGTCCCAGGACCTCTTTGGGAGTCACCTGTCTAAAGCCTTGCCAAATGAGGTGTGACCAAAATGAACATTTGAGTAGACCCATTACCAGCAAGGAGATTGAATCAGTAATCAAAAAACTCCCAACAAACAAAAGTCCAGGACCAGACGGCTTCACAGACAAATTCTACCAAATGAGGCATGAGGACGGCACTCTGGGGGTCTGAAAGCAGCTCTGGCCCCAGTATTTTCTCCCAGGTTAAATGTCCCCACTTCCTTAATGGTGGCTCATGGAGGGGGGCCGAGAGAGCGCCTCCTGTTCACGAAGTGCGCAGATGATACGGGAAGTTGAAATGGAAAAAAATATTCCCCCCACCCCCATCCAACCACCTGAACAAACCAAATCATTTCCATTTCTCATGCAGTCCACGTCCAGAAGCACACACGTGAAGCGTATCCTGTAACACTCAAGCAGAATGCAGGTCGATCTCATATTCCACACATTCTAGAAAACTGCCAGAAGTTAAGAAATTCCTTTATAATCCTCGGCATTGAGCACATAATAGGTGCTCAGTAAATAATTTTTAAATGAAGGAATGAATGAATGAACCCCTACTGGCCCGGAGAAAGAGATTTCAGAAACAAATTTAAGGAACAGGGCTGCTTTGGGTTTCATGCTCGAGCCCTAGAGGGCTCTGTATCTCTTCAGGCTTTCTGGGCAGGGAGAGCAGCTGGCTCCCCCACCCTCTGGCAGAGCAAGCAACAAACCTGATTTCAAACCCACAGCTCATCACAATAGAAATTCACCCAGAGGGGCGCGTGGGTGGCTCACTCGTTAAATGTCTGCCTTCGGCTCGGGTCACAATCCCAGGATGGTGGAATCGAGCCCCGCATCGGGCTCCCTTCTCAACGGGGAGTCCGCTTCTCCCTCTCCCTCTGCCTCTGCCTCTCCCCACCCTGCTTGTGGCACTCTCTCTCTCTCAAATAAATAAATAAAATCTTTTTTTAAAAAAAGAAATTCACCCAGAGACCAGTTACTCCTTTCAACAGTTACTGGAAGTAACCCACTGCTGTTTTGCATCCAAACTAAACATGTGGGGAGAACAGTGCACTTACCCCTGGCGAGCTCCTAGCCCCCCAGGAAGGGAAGCTTCCAGTCCTGCTCTAGGAAGCCCCGCCCCATCGGTGACCCAAAAAGGTGATCTGAAGTGGCCGCTGACCAGGGCTTTGCCAGATCCCTGGCCCCTGGCAGAGGTGAGCGTGCCAGGAGCGCATTTCCTTCTGCATCCAACAGGTCAGCCGAGCACTTTCCATGGACAGAGCACCCAACAAGGCCCGGACAGCAAAGACTAGAGATTCCAGAGCCCTCCAACATCCGGATGATATAGAAAGAATGGGAATGACCACTGCGGGTGGGCTTTGCCCAGGGAGTGTGGGATGTGAGCCTGGCTTGGAGGAGAGGGGACTAGCAGACACCAAGATGGATGGAAGACAGCAGACACCGAAAACTCCAGTTCAGGCAATTCTGGCTTCTGCACACGCACTTCACGTCCCTTCTCTGGAAATAGCACATTCATCCATCACTCACTGGTGCAAACAGACACTGTCAGGCAGCAGCCCCCTGGGGTGACCCTTTCTGGGCTTGGGAACAAACCCCTGCCTCCTGGAAACCCCGTCCCGCCATGAACTCAGCGGTGGGTAGGAGATGAAGGTGGCCAGAGAGGACCCCTGGGCAAAAGAGACTGATGCCAGGGCCTCCCCGACTTTGGGGACTCACCCACCTTAGCGCTCTAGAGCCAAGGCCAACCTTGTCCATGTCCAGAGTGGGATACCAGAACTGGAAAACACTACACCCTACCAGACATCATTAACCTACTGACACCACACAACAAGAGTCCGAGGCCTCTGAAAACCCACACATCACACACCTGCTTCTCATCACGTGAGCCCATGATAGACGGTTGAACCCCTCCAAACCTCAGTTTCCTCACCCGTAAAGTGGGGATAACACTCATATCCCCTTGTTAGGCTGCTCTGGGGATTAATGGAGACATCATCTGCAAAGGGCCCAGCACATATTACGTACTCAGTGGATACAGCTCCAAAGAGTTTACAATCCAGCCTAACAGAACACGAATATGCTCTATTCCTAAACTGGCTGGTGGACACATATGTAGTATTTGTCTTTCCATTGGCTCTATATATGCACTTTTTGTATTTGCATGCACTTTGGGATGTGTTGTTTATTTCAGAGTGGGGAAAAAAAAAGGGATAATTGTTTTCAATGTGGTCATTAGGTGTCTGGTGGAGAGACCTCCTTTGCCGGCAACCCTTTCAAATGTTGTGCTTTATGGCCTCTGTGACCTCATCCAAAAAATACTGCATTGGGTTATCCAAAAGGATTTCTTCTCTTCAAATTTTCTATTCCTATTACCAAAATCAAGCTTCATATCACACATCTCCAAAGAAAATTCTTCGCTACTGGTGCTTTCTGCTTGCTCTCCTTGCAGTAGCCACGAGCTGCATTACTGAACTTGATACAAACAT